CCAGCATTAGCAATTGTTGCGTTATGAGCGCGAACTTGCAAAACAAAAATTTCTTGCACTCAAATATAAGTTATCAAAGCTAACTGTTTCATCAATATAAAGTCAAAAGAGCGTGAAAATAGCCTTGTCAGTCTAAATAATTCTCCCGAGGAGTTTTCACTACTCTTCGCGCCTAACTAAAATCATATCAAACGCTCAACTCGCCTGTCGCCACATCTTCATTGAACTCATTCATGATTTTGATGTGACATGTCTTTATACGCCTGTATCAAAATGCACCATGCCGTACTAGAAAATATTTCAGCCAAAATAGCGAAGGGAAAGTATGGGACAGGGTTTAGGGTGGAAAAAACGTGGAAACAAATTAATTAACAAAAGGAACCTTTATTTTAAGAAAATTTTGTTATAGCAACGAGCAGATAGATCGCGTGAGGATGCAACTACACAATACAGTAGAGTTCAAAAAAACTGACAGTCAATCAATTGGTTGTAACTCAGTCAGCGATTAATCAAATAATTTGAAACTCAATCAATCAGTTCTATGATGTTTGCTGAACAATAATTCATTAGAATTGATATTTTGTATGAACTTCATAAGCGTCAAAACACTCATGAATTCTGTTTGGCATTGAATTGACGAGGGAAGTTATAAAACCTAATGATATTTCTATGTAGTTTTTTACAAATGATGACTGCAATTAAAATTGAATAAATGGCCGATCATGGAATTTTGTATCTTGATTAATATGTCTATTGATTTCCTATGGTCTAGTCTGTCAAATGCGAAAAAAATTCGGTTCCGATTCATCGTCTGATCAGAAATCTCAATTTGAACGTAAGACTGTCAGTTTTTTGACCGCTACTGTATATAAAGTCAATATACACTTGCATTAAGCGTAACTGTTTCTTTATTCATGCGTTGGGCCTCTTGTAAGAGAAAATGCAAATAACTCAGAACTCTATCGAAATGCCAGACTTCAACACCTTGATTGTATTCGAATAGATGCCATCGAGCGGAAAAAGCATCAACTTCAGGGTCATTGATTTCACAAATGATAGTAATTTGAATTCTTTCCCATTTCTATCCGTTCCTCTCTGTACATTAAAATTAATGGGCAGTCTCGTGTAACGAACGATATGTGGTAATATCCTGCTTTTTGAACGGAGAAAGAGAATATTAGTAATGTTATAAAAGTATTTAGTTTAATAATTGTTGACCAATTTCTAAGTTTATTAATATTATTAGGTCTACAATCAATTGATTAACTTAGCTAATTTGTTTTCATATTTGGCAATTGACTTTCCCTTTACCTTTTATATACTTGGTACGCTTATTCAATTTTATTTGAAGTCATCTGACTGTTATCGATATTCAAACATACAACTTATTAACCGATATTTAAGTCAATTATTCAAATTTCGCGGGCTATCATTAATTTGAGTCTCAGGCTTATCAAACAAATAATAAACATCATCATGCCAGTCACAATGCTGACTGAACTGTATTTATATTCGGGTCATCTCTCCGAAAATTTTATGTTCTACGATTTTACTCATTGAGCTCATACAGAAACCAAAATTTAAAAAATTCAAATTTAACTTCAATCACCAGGATAATGCAGTATTTGCTGTTTAACATCTTACTTTACTTAATTTTAACAAACACTTCTATTGAAATTAATGTAAACTCAACTCTTCTATTATAAAAAATCGTTGCCTGTAATCTTTCTAGACTTGGGAAAAAATCCAGCAGTTTACTGAACGAATGCATTTTTCCAGGCCGTGAATCCGTGTGAATTGTTCCACATTTATATTAATTTCACTTATGGGTGTTAGTTATTTCTGAAGTTTTTTGCATAAAATCTGAGAAGCGTGGTATGTAATCGCAAGATATCGTTTCAAGCACGACATCCAAGTTCATCTATGTAGTGGATAGCAGGTTCATCTATTGATTCTTTCAAATGACTCCATACTTTTACCAACAACTTGATCAAAAAAGGTCCATCAATAGTTTCTTCTGTCCGATAATAAACACACCATTTGGGATGAAAAAGCCATTCTTTAAGCAAATTAATAAATTTTACTTCGAGTTATTTTCACTAACATTTCTTATCACTCTAACGGCCTCATCATGATGCGCATTTTTAGATCCTATTTTTGTTCTCGAATAATAATTATGCATTACTTTAACCTTTATGAAGGATTGATTTTTCGTTTATGCCATAACATTGATACATTTTTCTTGTGAAAATGTTTTTATTACAACAAAATAACTGTGATTAAAGGCAATCTACAGCAAAAGCATCGTCAATATTTTGCTTTTCAATGAACCAAATGCATTGGTTCGTCATTTAATGTGCATTAATAGTGATTCAATTTGGTTGTAAATAACAATTGCAATCCCAATTGAGGGTCAATTTTGTTTCGATTAACAATGTTTTAGGCTTTCCATTTCAAGATAAAATATGAAACATTTAATGGCTCCTAAAATATTGGAGAGCAACAAATGTAAAATGTATTTAACCAAATAATTGCTATAAACAGTAACAATAACAGGAGAAAGCAGAAAATTTATTGACGTTGGGAGTAAAGGAAAAGGAAGAAAACATTCTATTGAAACAAAAGCAACTTTTCAAGTTTAGTTTCTTTCTGTTCACAGTATTACATGCTCATGAAAGGTCATGCTGATGAACATTTTAATAATAATAATAACAGGGAGTGAGAATCATAAAGAGCTTTCATGAAGATGATGGAAGGAAAGCTTTTCTTGATCGCATTTCTTGCAACTTGTAACACCATCATTTTGTCGGATTAAGTTTAGTTTTATGTTCAACTTATCAGTTTAATCTTTTTATTCAATGTCCACACTCACTGAGACACAGTTTGACTTTTTTTGTTACTTCTCAGCAAACATTGAACTTTTAACCATAACTGACCAAGCAGAAGGTAGATAATTTAATTGATAAATATCTACAGCAAAAATATTCCAGTTTACCAAAAAGTCGACTGTAAATGTCTTTGGATTTTCAGTGAAAATATTGTGACAAGTAAACTCGAATCAATGATTGAACGTCAAGCCGTCAATTCGAACTGCAATTGGCAAAGTTTTCCGATAAATTTTCATGCAATGTAAGTTGAACAGTAAATCTTTTCAAAAGATTTTTACTTTATGCAGCGAAAAAAATGTTTATCCTAAGAAAATCGACTTTAATGCTCAAAATTAGTATCCCACAGAATCATTTATACTCGTTTAGTTGGACATCTAAATGAACTCTTACAACTTTAGTCTGTTTATTCAAAGAACTTTTCATTTGTTTAGCCTCGATAAATGGTCGGAATGACAGACTTGATCAAAATAATTTCTTTCATGAGCCATTGTCATTGTTCATCAAAAGTTAGTTTTGAATCTGAAAAATAATTTCATTTTCTTCTTAGTTTTTAATGAAACATGAGTCGACTGAACAAAGCCTCTTATTGAGATTAAAATCAGATCAGTGAATCTCATGGTTATAAAACTTTCAAACATATTTAGCCGAATAAAATGCTTGGAATAATCCAACAAGAACAACAAATCTACAGTAATTCAAGTCTTACATCATTTTTATGGGTTTGCATAAAGATAGCGATTCAAGAAATGTTATCAAAACTTTTCAAAATACAACAACTGATTAACATTGAAATGAGACTTGAATCAAGATTCTTTGCAATCTTATCTTCTGACAACTTGCAGGACACTTGCAATAACCACTTTCTCATCATGAAAGCATTCATTTCAAATTAAACTTTTCTCTAAACTAATCAGTTGAACATATTGCATGATGATATCCATCGATTGAACCTCATCTCATCATCTCAGATACTTTGCTCTTTGAGTTTTCCTTGCAAACATTGTAACTCCAATGGTTAACCAATGCCTATTAAACTTTGAATAGCTTTAAACATTTGACTGAACGGACATTAACTTTCAACTGTTCAACCTGGCAATAAACTAAATCAACTTGAGCCTTTGTCATTAGCATTGTCAACGTTATTGCCTCGTTTATTTTGTTATTACACTTGAAGATTAACCTTGATCTTTAATCAAGGTTAAAATTGTGTGAAACAAAAAGTCGCAAAGAGAGAAGAAGAAAGAAAAAGATGGAAACATTATCATCTGATTATCTTATAAAGTTATTAATAATTATTTTTACAATCACATTTAGCACAATTAAATATTATGTATAACACTTTGCTTCTGTTTTTGCAGTCAATTTAATGTAATGCTTCTCACCATCTTTAAATGAATATTTCCTGTAAAAGTAAGAAGAAGACGAAGATGGCGAATAAGAAACTATCATCACAACTTTTCTTATCATCTATTAAGCTCTTCTTTACTGATAATTAGCTCAGTATTCTGTTTGCATGAATAGGGATTTATCTATTTTCTTCTTCTTCTCTTTTCATCATCTTCTTCAAGTTTTCGCCTCTTGCATTTTCTTGTCAAGGGAACAAACTATTGCTTTTTTATGCATTTAATCTCCATTCTCATTCTCATCATCAACATCATCACTCAACGGTAAACATTAGGAGAGAGCGAGAGAGAAATGAAGGGAAATCAATAGAAGAGAGAGAAAAAAGGTTTTCATTTTATCTTTCCAAGCTTTCTAATTATCCTGAAAATAACTGATGAAATATGTAAAAATCTGAATCGACAGAGAAAAACATGTTTTCTCAATGAATGTACTTTTTTGATGAAACATTTTACTTTTTACTTTCACCATTTTCACATCAACATTTAATCACATTTGATTGTCCTTATTTGTGTCTCATCTTCACTAATAAAGTACTCTTTATCTAATAAGTTTACTTTATTTTCTTCGCCATCTTCATTTCTCATCCTCATTATCATTAGCTCTTGTGGTCTCTCTCTCTCTCTCTTCTCTCTATTTCTGTCTGTTTTTATCATCGTTTCTCTCCAATAAATTAATCATTATTTCTTGGGGTTCATCTCATGTAACCAGGTTATGAATGTTTTGATGGCAACACAGGAAAATAGTCCAATCCTTTTGGCACAAACGCTGGAAAAAGTGGTTGAAATATTGAAAAATACTGACGTTCATTCACCAACATTAACAGGTTTTCCTCCCTCAAAAGCTGATGATCAGTTAACCAATGATCTATTAACAGGTCTTATCCATGTAAGTCTCATTTCACTCAAACCCAACCTAATGAACCAAACCTTTACCCAAGCCTAATCCCTTTTTCCCATTGCCTTTCTTGGTCAACCAGCCAACATGATTTTTCATCGTTCAATTGGTAGCCAGTAAAAGTCATTTGCTCGTCTCCATCAAACATTCAGTGAAAATGGTTAATCATTTGAAACACTTTTCGTTAAATGTTTAACTTTTCAACTTTTTTCTCCACTTTTATACTCTTCTATCTTTTGCCTCTTAACATCATAATCACTCTTGTTTACCTTTTTTTTTCATCCACCTTCATTATCATCATTCATCTTTACTTTCATCATAATCAGATTATGAAGAGGGGAAGGAAAGCAATCCTTTTTTTGCTCCTTTTCTTACCTCAATCAAAATGAGCAATAACAAGTTATCATTGATGATATCGCCAGGAAAATGAGCTTACTATCAACCATTGCTTTCCATACTATTCATCATCATTATCATCATTTTTTCTTCTTCTAATTACTGTTATTTTCTCATGATTACTCGTCATTTATCTTTGTCTTTTTTTTACTTTTCTTCTCTTCTTTTTCCTTTTGCTCATCATCCTGTCACCATCAGAGTAACAAGGCAACTGGAATGAGACGAATGTCATATGAACAAGTTGTACGTAAAAACAGCTCCGGTCTATTGCAAAGTCCAACCACCAATTCCAACTTTTCAAATCTTCCCGAAAACCTGAAAACTCTCTTTGATTACCAATGGACTTGGCATTTTAATATAATTGAATTGGAGCGACTTACCGAGAAAAGGTAAAGCCAATTCATTTTCCTTAATTTCACCCATTCTGCAAAAACCCAGAGAGAAAAAAAAGTGACGTAAAATTACCAGAAAAACGATAATTTTTATAGCAAACATTAAACTCTATGTTGACTGATTACTTGAAAATTATCAGCAATTCTGGTAAACATTTTCCTTTTAATTTACCTTTGTGAGGAGAGAGAAAAAGGGTTTCATTGAGAAAAGTACAACTTTTCAACTTGGAATAATCAGTGTTTACTCTTAACATGAAAAGGCGCAAAAAATGTTCATGCTATTGAACTTAATCTTGTAAACTTTGGAAAAAAGCTTTCAAGTTTCTCTTCATTTACCAGATTAAACATTTGCTTAATTAAACAGCATTTTAATAGCAAAAGGCAAAAATAGATGTTTGTACCTTTTTCTCGTTTCGCCAATTCAATCTCAACATTCAAACATGATTTCAAGTCATCATTTGTTCATGTAAAAGTTGTAAGAAGATGTAACGAGAGAGAGAGAAAAAAGCATTTTTACCCGAAATTCGCAAAAATTGTTTTCTCTTGTTTCATGAAAGTTGGTAAACTTGGAAAAGCTGAAAACTAAATGAATAGACTTTGCGCTCTCATGGGAGAGTTTTTGCAGTCTTGAGATGAAAGTTAATTAGCTTAAAATGAACCCAACCAATTAACTATCATTTCTGTCAATGAATCTTAATCTACTTTTCAGCTTCACCATACTTCTTTTGCACCCACTTTAATGCATTTTTCCCTTCGTTCATCATATCAGCATTTTTATCTCAATGATGATTGCTAACTTTGCATCTTGTTGAATTAACTGTTCAACTTGATGGCTTTTGAATGGGCAAAAATGCAAATGCAAACGAAAAGCGAACCAAAATCGAAAAACAAAAAAGTTGTTCGAGGAAATACTTGGAAAAGCAATAATTTAATGTTTCCCTTTTGCCTCTTCATTTCAGGCCATTATTTTTTCTCGGATTATCAATATTGTCTTCATTCAATGTTTGTTCAAATTTAAATTGTGATGAATCAACTTTACGCAACTGGCTTGTGGTCGTTGAATCACAGTATCGTGATAACCCATATCACAATTCAACTCATGCAGCAGATGTTATGCAAGCAACATCATATTTTCTGAGGAAACCTCGATTGAAAGCCATCTTTGATCCACTGGATGAGGTTATTAGCCTCATCTCAGCTATAATTCATGATATTGATCATCCAGGAAAGTCTAGTGCGTTCCTTTGCAATTCAAATAATGAACTCGCCATACTTTATAATGATATGTAAGTATTTCATAACTTGAAATCAATGTAAACAACAAACTGTGTTCAACTGTCAAAAGACAACTGTTGTACTCAATAATAGATGACAGTGAAAAGCTGTTTATTGCAATCAAATCAACTTTAATTGTCTAAATTGCAATGTGATTACAAAAACTAATCAGACTCTTTTACATTAATAATGAAAAACAACAAGTTGGTCAACTTTAATTTGAAATATTTAACAAGCTCAATATTAAAGTTGCAATATTAAAGACTCCAGTCAACTAGCTTTGACCAAATTTTCCCTTCAACTTTCATTAAGTTGTCACAATGATAATGATTTCTTGAAATGAGTTCAGTATTAATCCATTTGTATATCAGTTGAACTCTAACAGTAAATATGAGCATGTTGAAAGGAACTAACCAGCATCATGAATAGTGTGAAGCTTGTGTGTTTCAGTGAGTGTTGCAGTGCGTCAATGGTAATCATTGAACAGAGCAAAAACCTTGTTAAATGAGAAACAGATTAGGATCATGTAAAGTTAATCCAAGGAAAACATTTGCAACAAGAAAACCTTTGATACCAATATCTTTGCTGATGGATCAAATGACGTTCAAATTGGCACTTTTTTCCTTACGAATCATGAATCTTTCTTTATCCGTCTCTTTATCTTTTGATAAAGTAAACCTTCTTTTGATCACATTATTATTATTGAGTTTCATCAGCATTTGAGGGAATTTGAATTTGATCAAATTTACTGGATTAATCAAATTGTAATAATTGATTTTTTTCTCTTTTTCTTCTCTTTTTGTCTTTGCCTTAGATCCGTTCTGGAAAGTCATCATGCCGCTCAAGCATTCAAGATAACCCTTAGTGATGATCAGATAAATATTTTCAAAAACCTCGATCGTGATACATATAAAGAAGTCCGTCAATCAATCATTGATATGGTCTTAGCTACCGAAATGACCAAACATTTTGAACATTTATCCAAATTCATAAGTGTCCTAATTGAACCCTTTAAACTTGTCAAGCCTCCAACCAAAAGCACCAAAACACCAACAAAGACAACGACAAGTTCATCATCACCCTCATCGATAACATCAGCACCAGTCAACGGTGACGGCGATAAACCGGAAAGCTCAGAGAAAAGAGCATCAATAAACTCTGATTCTTTAAATATACCGGCAACACCTGAAAATATTGTAATCGTTAAACGAATGTTAATTAAATGTGCAGATGTATGCAATCCTACACGCCCTTTACCAATATGCAATACTTGGGCTGAAAGGATAGCTGAAGAGTATTGTAATCAGGTATGAAATCGAAACTCTAGAGTTTTTCATCGAAATTGAAAAATCATCTTTTCTAATTTCATCTGTTCTTGCCTCCAGACTGACGAGGAAAAGGCATTAGGATTACCGGTAGTTATGCCCGCTTATGACAGAGCCACATGCAGTATTCCCAAATCTCAGATTGGATTCATCGACTTTTTTGCTCATGATATGTTTGAAGCATGGGATGGTAAGTATCATCGCCTTGAATTTACATTTTACTTTGAGAAAAGTGTGTAAAGTTTGAGTAAATCTTCATAACTCATTGATTGTGATGTTGAGTTTTTTTCGTCTTTTCATTGATTATCTGTTTCTGATGAATTTTTAGGTCTGTTGGATTTGAAGATTATGATAGTTTCGCGTTTAAATTCAGGGTTGAATGTTTTTCTCGAGTCAGTTGATGCGACATTTCAGTTGAAAATGCATGAATGCGCAGATTTTAGATTTAAATTTTTCTCTAGAAAATTTGGAATTTTCAAGATTCTTTTTGAATATCAATATACGTAAATCATGACCTTTGTTTCATGTTTCATCAGCAACTTTTCTCGAGCAGCAAATTGGAGCAGAAGTCGATAATTTGTCAAAATTTGTTTTGTAAACAAAAAAGAAAAAACTTTTCGACTTTTGTTATCGTTTTGGTCTTTTGCCAAGTTAATAATTGATTTGTGGTTTGGCAAATTAATTATCAAACAAATTAAATCCAAAATTTCATTGTTCATCAAATTCTGAAGTAATGAGCCTTAAGAAGTTTTCAATCTTCTCTCTTTGAACAAATTCAGCTATTCAATTTCATTCTGATAAGACTTTTCTCAATGAAAGCTCAACTTTTGACTCTTTTTCCAGACGCAAAATAGCTTCAAATTACATTTATTCACCAGTAAACTTTCCAAGAATTTTTACGTCGAAAATTCTATTTTAATTTATTCTTTAAATCTTGAGTTTCCATCCAACAATTGATCATGAAATGCCATGAACCTTAATCAAGATGAAAAATGGGCAACAACTTAGTGCAACTGGAATAGTTTGAAATAATGAAAGTTATTTTGAGGTTAACTGAAGACAATATTTCTGGTTGCAACCAGATTCTGAGACTTTTATTCAACTTCTAATTTGACATTTTCTTTATCAACAGCATTCGGTGATTTCCCTGAATTGATGGATAATATGAATAAAAATTATGCTCATTACAAGGAAGAGGAAAGAAAAGAGTCGGACAAACGGGAGGCCAGAAAATCATCAACATGCAAGGAAAGCGTCTCAACCAGTGAAATGGGAACCAATCAAATAAGAACTGATGTACAATTGGAAGTCAAAGAATAGCGGGAAAAGCAAAGAATTGATTTGGATTTCACTTCTTCTTCCATTTCAACTCTTTAACCTGGCGAATAACTTTTTAACCCAATTCTTTGCTTCCCAATCCTGGACTGGTCTCTAACACATTGAAAGCGTTTTTTGCCTCTAAACTATTTTAAAGTATTACCAATGTAAAATATCCAAACCAGATGGCAGCTTTAGAGGCACAACTAGAGCTGGCAACTTGGACCGATGACTTGATGAGGTTAAACAGGATTGTTAATAACATTAGCTGTTTAGATATTAAACTGTAAATAACATCAACATTGTGTTTTGATATAAACGTAAACTGCGTTTCTAGTCCGTTTCATCATTAGTTTCAGGCTGTTTAATCTTCATCATGTTCCCACCAAAAAGCAACACTTATCAACTTGTCATCATGAAACCCTAATTTTCCACCAAATAGCCCACCACTGGTTGAGAGATGGAAAGCCTCAAGTCTTGAACAACAAGGAATACTTCAATGTCTACAGTCAAAGGTCCAAAGGTGGATAGTTTTGGGTTGGACAAAAGGTATCAGATTAACTGGTTAATTTGGTGCAGCGAGAGTGACCAGAAGGAAATATCGTTGTGTTCATTATATTTTTGTTAAATCAATTTCATTCAATTTATTTGATACCTAAAAAGGGCGCAAACCTCTCAAAACCTTTCAATTTGTAATTATCTATATCTATCTATTATTAACTATTATTACCATTGATTGTAACATTAATCTTTAAACAACAAACCCACAACAAAACACTGTAATATTGTAACTAATTTTCAGGTTAGAGACTTGTACTTGAACAAGGAGACAAACAGTTGAACATTATGTTATTTGGTTTCTTTTTGTTGCGTTTTTCTCGTTCATTTTTTGATTGTTAACTCTGTTCAGGTTGATTGTTATGCCCATTGAAGACACACACACAATACAAGTATCCAATAGGCATAAAACCCTTTTACAGGACTCAGAACTTTTTATTTATTCCGTCTATTAAATGCTTAATAGTAAGAAAAAAAACAAAACATTTGCCAAGATTGTAAACAAGATTTAAATTGTTGTTATAAATTATGATAAAGAAAAAATTTAAAACACAAAATCAATTTCTCTCATTTCATTTACATAGCTATTGCTAAATCTTTCATGCTTTTTTAGTATTTAAAGGCCTGGTTATCGTAATATGGTGACCGTGATTCAGTTGAATTCATGGTTGCTGTTCCAATTGTTGTCGGGTAAACAGGTACTCTGGATGATCTCATTTCCAGGGTTGAATCCATGTGAGGTTGATCTATTGAATTGAGGCGAGCTCGAGGAATACGGTAAGTTAAAATGTTGGTATTCCATTGGCCAAGCCGGCGAAGTTGATTCTTTTCATATCGTATTTGGGCACAACGAAGGTGAACACAGAAAAGCAAGATTAGCCAAAACAAGATTCCGAGTCCACCATCGCTTAAATTTAAAAATATTGTCAGTCGAGCCCACTGGATGCTTGATTCAGCATCAAGTTGAGTTAAATTTGATTTGATCCAATTAGGAAATTCATTAATGAATCCATCCTAGAAAGAGAAGAGAAAAAATGGAAAAGAATTAATAAAATTAATTTATTAAAAGAGTAATCAGTCAAACAGAGCAAAACTTGATGAATAATCTATGAATTGAAAAGTGCGCTAAAAAGCTATGGCAGCTTATAAAGCATGAAAGCATAGCCAGCATAATCAGCTTGTAAATGTAAGCTACAGACAATTCCCTCTACATCAACAAAAGGCTTCTAAATTAATCTCATCTGGATTACATTTTATTTTGTTTTAATTGTTTTATTAATTTGTTTCCATTACAATGACCCTAATATTAAATGTTAAATGTTGTCCTAAATATCTTTTTGTATAAATTAATTTGTTTCAATGGGTTACTCTTGACATTACTGTTTTTACAGTTTCTGGTAAACCAGCATCCATAATGAATGAACCTGTTTCCCTCTCTTTTGGATTTCATCAAAAGACCAGTTATGTTATTGATAATTTTACCCTTCATTTGCCGTATTCATTTCAAATTTTGCTCTAATCTCATTCCAATCTTCTTACCTTATTTTCAACAATTAGAAAGTATATTGAACTAGCAATCAAGGCAGCTATGTAAATGGCAACAATCATTTCCCATGGAATCAAATATTTACGGCGATCTCGACGGTTACCAATGGAAAGGACAGGGACAGAGATTATCAAAAATAACCGAAGAATCAAACGAATCAAGACGATTCCAAGGAGAATGGGAATATTTTCAATTTTGCTGAAGGAATCAACAAATTGGCTCCAACTGGTGGACTCATGGTTAAATAAAACTAAGGATGGTGTTACAATGCTGAGTAATATGAAAAAATCAGCCCCAGTAAAAATCAAATAGTTGATCTGAGGAAAAAAGAAGAAAAATGAAAAATTAGTTTAATTGTCATAAATATCAACCTAATTTTTGAATACATTTTGGTATCATTAGTTGAGGATGTATTCATCAACATTCAACAACAACATTTGAGACAATTAAGATTGGGGCTTTGAGGCAGTTTAATAGATGTCAATTAAGATGTGAATCAACTGTCATAAGAAATGCTGTCAACCCTGTTATGTACTCAAGATGATGAAAGTAATCTAGACAATTCATCAACAATTATGGAAACGACTGGTAAAGGATTAGGAAGAGAAAAAGAATCGCTTGCAAAATGAAATCTGTGATTAAGAGTGAAATGTTACCGGTTAAATGAAACCAATTTTATTTGGTTTTTCTGGTAAAATGAAGCAGCAAAATATCATTCTGCATTTAAAGTGACTGAAGCCTTACTGCAACTTTACTCAATTCAGTTATGATTTATAATCAAACACTTTAATAACCCTTTTTTTCTGATAAAACAATCAAACGATAATTTCTTTCTGAGCAATTAAATTTGATGGCTCAATTTACGTAAATAAGAGTGTTTGCTGAACACACTTGACCAAATGTAATCTCATTGATTAGACATTGATTGAAATTGCCTGTTGAATTGAACCCAAAGACGATTACAAAAGTTGCCTTCAAATGATTGAACAAGATTATTGGAGAAATTAATTTACCAAATCATATGATAGTTATTGATCAATCTCAATTTGAAGCTTTCAAAAGTCTAAATTGCTGGAAATTGTTTGATCAAGTCCAAAATGTATGATAAATATTATCATTAGCTGAATGTAAACAATTTCCAGCAACCTTTTGTAATCCATGGAAACAATTACTAATAGCAATAATAATAAAAAAATTGATTAAAGCTAATTTGGTTTCTAAAGGTGAAAATATCATTTTAGGTACAAGTAGATAGATAATTTTCTGGTTGCATACAGTTTATGAAAGTAAAGTGATTCAGATTGACATATCAAAATTGTCGAACAGCAATTTCTTTTGCGTTTTAATTTCCTATGTTTCCAGGATCATATTTTGATGAGATTTGGTGTTGGTTAACGAATGGGTTTGGGTTACATGTGTTGATTGAGTTGCTGTCAATTCGTGATCAAGCTTATTGTGCTTACTTTAACCCATTTCAACTTACACTGACATGGTTATTAACTCAGCAAAGGAACCCAAAAAAACTAACAGGAAATAATAGCTAAGGTAAGCATTTAAATATACCATGTGAGGAGAGGCTAAGAGGTTTTTTTGTTTTTGTAGAGTGCAACAAAATGTTGGACGTGACTGTGCATCAATTAACATTAGGTATAACTTGTAATGTAATAGGCAAAGAACTGTAAGCAAAAATAGGAATAACATTGAAAGTTAAAAGGTCAATTAGTAAATTTCAACCAGTTGGTTTACCATGAACAAAGATCAATATGGCGGGTAAAAACCTAAATTCCTGGTTTATTTTGGGTTCAACATTTCAGCTAAAATGAGTTTCAACAAAATCAAGTCTGATAAGCAGATTGGCGCTCAACAATCAACACTTACACATTGGTTCAAAGTTAGTCAACAATGTCTAGCCTTGTCTGGCCATGTCTGGTTAGCTTTGAACTGTTGATTAATCTTGACTAAACCTTTGGATCAAAATGGATGACTATGAGGTGAAGACGAAAAGGGTTTTATAACAAAGGAATAGAAATTTTTTGCTGAATTGAGGTGAAATGGAATGAGAATTAGCGCAATACTTACTATTGAATAGATGACGGCGATTGTTGTCCATAATTTGAGAGTACAACAGGTAAATCCCATTTAAAATTTGGATCCAATTAAGGTACAAGTTTAATTGGGAAAAGCAACTGTCACCATATTAAATTGTGTAGAGTCAAGTAGCACATTTAGCAAGCAAAAAGACAACAGTAATCAGAGGAAAATTGATTAAATGAACAGTTTATTGAAGTAGAGAAGAGCTTTTTGTTCACCTCAACTAGAAAACACATTCAAGGTAATAACAAAATCGTACTGATAGCACAAATGAGAAATAACAATCAACTTTAAGCTAAGGTTAATGATTAACAAGAAATGATGAGAAGAAAGGAAAAGAGTTTATGAAGAAAGTTATGATTACTATTGATACAATCCATCGAACCAATGGCAATAATTTAAATAAACGGTAAACAGAGATAACAAGTGATAGTGGAAATGAACAAGACTCGGGTTCAAAAAAATGAAAAGGTAGAGAGTAGGAGTTGGTATATGAGAAGAGGATGATGAGGGGAGGAAGAAGAAAGAGAGAGAGAGAGAAAGAGAGTGAGAGAAAAATGGAAAGAGAGAAGAAAATGAAAAGAGAAAAGATAAATAGCAAATATTGTATCATATTGTCTACAATGTTAAGGAAACCTGATAACTTGAAGTCAATTCGAGTTAATTTTTTTTCTTTCTCTTGTTTCTCTGACTTTTCTCTGCTTTTATCTTCTTTTCTTTATTCCTTAAAATTGATATTCAATTGATGATAATGAAAAAGGGATGAAAAACTGATGATAAAGCTGTACAAATGATATGGACCATTAAATTTCCGGTGGTACAACAACGGACAATAGACTTCTGTTAATAACAATTGTCTTTACCATTTCAATGTCTCATCTATTTGCCTAAATTCATTGAAAATGGATCAATTGAATAAAGTGTGTTCATTTTGTCACTTCTTACATTACATTTCACACATGAAAAGTGTACAAAATTTGAATTAATGTAAAACCAACATAAAAGATGCTTTTGTTAATTGATCGAAAGATTGTGCCATTAGATAAAATACATTTCTCTAGCCTTTCCAACTGAACCAAACCAGATTTGGGTGAAAAAAATCTTTCAAGTTCTGAATAAATTGAGCTAGTAATCAGACTGGGTGATATCGATAGTTATCGAAATTGTGATCGGTAACAGATCAACATGTGCGATTCTCATTTGCTTGAAAGTTCTTTTCTTCACTTTGTCCATTGAGACGTGCTAAAAATTCACACAGAAATATCCATCGATAACTTTGTTGTGTCCCGGTCGATGACATGTTAAGACTTCGGGTCATGATAAAGACTCTCGTCCCAGTCGTTAGTCTTTACCATAAATATCTGTATCTGTAGTAACCTAAAAGTTGAATAATCACAATGAAAATGGAAGATGAACAAAAGTAAAATGTTGAATAATAAGGAAGAGAAAGAAGAAAACTGAAAATCTTTGGTGAAATCACAACTGATTGTATTGATTGAGAAAGTTGAAAAGTGACTAAATGTTTACATTGGTTAACCTAACGGTTTCAACTTGAAGCTTGAAATACTAGAGTTGATACTTTACTCGATAGATGGAGACAAGTTAATCGTGATGATATGAAAATGAATGTTGATTTTTTTCATCAAATTATACTTTTCATCCTTTCTTCCATTTCTTTCACTTTCTTCCAACTTTCAACTCACGCTCAAGTCTTCCTCAAATCCACCGAGTTTCAACTTTCATTTCAACTTCAACTCAAAACAACGGTAAGTCTGTCTGAATGAAGGCAAACAAAAAAAAACAAAAACATCAACAGACAAAGTTGACCATTAGAGGATAATCAATCCTTTCCCATTAACCACTTTTTTAAACTCGTTTACGTCTTTAACATCTTTGATCTTGAATCATCTTCGATAATAATTTCACAGTCAATTTGTTTCTACTCTAATCAACTCTCACCATTAGTTCATGTGTCAAGCAACAATAGAAAGGTGACTTTATGTGTTTCAATTTCCATGTCCATTGTGATTATGAACTTTGGCTGGAAAAGCTGATTGTACTCATTGGATTACTCGCCCTTTGTGTTTATCTGTGAATATCAATAACAAGTCAAGTCATTTTTGGCTTCAAGTGTTGTGTCAATCCTTTGTGTCTTCAATTTCACCTTTCAATCTTTATCTTTGGATTTACCATTAAACATCAATATCCAAATGATCAAAAATGTCGAGATGAAAATTTGGATAAATTGAAATTCCCTCCAAAAAAAGGTAAACCTCGAAATTTTCCTTTCAACATTCCATGCAAGTTGATCAAGCCAACAATTATCGATTAACCAATTATCAAGCTCAACACTTGATCTATAATCAATCCCAACAATCGTTTCCTCGAGTTAATTGTCAACACTAATTCATTTTCCTTCCGCTCCTATCCTTTGTAATAATCAATGATCACACAATGAAAGTTGCCAATAAAATTGACAATCAAAATAATCACGTTAATCAAAGAACCAGAAAAGTTGGAGATTGAGTTAAATATGTTTTTATTTTGATTACTTTTTCGCCTTCTTTTCCACCCTAAACTAGCCAACAATTTCAATACAAATAAACAATCAACTTGAAATGCCATTAACAATGAAAACAGTTTTCAAGTTTATCTTGAAATATTTATTATCATTAGTTTTTCCGTCCAAAATTCATCGTCAACTTTGCTAATACATTTATTACTTGTAATAATATTGATAAAAAAATAAATATCTATATATTTATAAATATGGTTAATGGAATTGCTGTTAACAAGATTGTGTGTTTCCTCTTTATTCAGATCAATCTGTCGGATTAGCTGGTTCAATTGATCCTCATCTCATCTCTTCTCTTCCTCTTCAACATAACCATCAATATTTCCAGTAATAACAATATAAAACCCAAAAAAGCTGCTCCATTATTATTATCAACATATTGTTTAATCTTGTTATTACCAAAAGAGAACAGTCAAAATGTTGGCTTTTCGCCCAAGATTCAGAATGAGCCATATATCAACAGAATTAGAAATCTTTTCGAAACTCGAATTCTCCGGTATGCATTGATTCGGCAACAATCAGATAACGAAATAAATTTTCAGCATTGGAATTGGAATCAGCATAAAAAGTTCTAACTGAAAAGTTGAGTCCCATGTGGTCCTCATGCGGCTCCAGGAAATTGTTGCTTCACAGGGAATGAGAATTTCGATCTGATTTCCTTAAAGTACTTTACTCAGCATAAGCATTCGATTGATGGTTCATTTTATTCTGAGTCTTGGGTCGATTTGGCTATTGTCTTTTAACTTCTTTTTGGCTTCTGCTTTAATTTAATCTTGTTATTGCTACGATTTGCTTTTCAGTTAATCTTGATTCAGTTTGCCTTTCAAATGATTCAAATTTTATTGATAGTTTTGCTAATCAATTATCCAATCAATTATCGATTCAATGTTCAACGCCTTTCTTAAATCAAGTTTTGTTTATTAAAGTTGTTACCATTGTTTTCAAACCTTCAACTTGAAACTGATAATTTGTTGCCGGAAAAAAGCAATGCAAAGCCAAGATTATTTGCCAACTTTGAGTCAGCTGAATTGAGCTGAACTCACATTTAATGTCGTGATTTTAGATTGATAAGCGGACTTTTGAATCAAACAGACATTTCCAAGTGTTTTTAGATTCAAATCAACTTTAACCATGAGAAGTTTTGAGACATGGAAAAGTTTCTCCAGAGACATTGACTATCGAGTTGAGATTCACTAGTGACACATAAATGCAGTCGATTTGCAAAGTCAAGTCTTGACATTTTTTGATAAATCACGTTCGATCTTCGAACGTTTCAGATTAACTTTCAACTTCGCCACATCTTGTCTTGATGAACAATCCAATTTATCATCTCGAACATTTTTCAATCTTTGCTTTTCTTTCTTTAATTTGCATAATCAGTAAAAAAATTACGAGCAAAACTCTTGAACATGAAACAAGAGACTAACTTGGACAATTAAATTTTGAGCAAATTTTGAATCGTGTTAATTATTTTCTTGAAACAAAATGAACATTTTCATGTCATTTTAATGGTGAATGAAACCAAAAACTCGAACTCATTTAGCAAGCCAAAAAAATAAGGTAACTTAACAACCATTCAAGTTGAAGCAGAACAGAGAGAAGAAGAAGAAAAAAAAAGAGTTTCAAGTAACTCTGAATAATACCATTTGCCATTTCAAATGATATATTATCATTACTATTATTATTACAATTATTATTGTTACTCGAACTTGCTTTTCAAGATATTTTTTTCACTTTTCTTCCTTTCCATTTATTCATGAAAATGTTCATCATAATACTTATAAGATACTCATACATGGTTATGCAAATGCTTACAATCGTTCAATTGTATTAATACATTTAAATGCATATTTTATCAATCATCAGATGATCATTAATAGCAAAGATGAAGAATAAAAATTGAAAAGAAGAAAAATGTTTTGATTAAATTGCATTCCCTGAGTTGATTAATTTGTATTGGAAATCAATTTGTCAGCGAACAGTAAATTAATTTGAAAAAAGTTCATTTTTGGGTAACCTTTCAATTTCAATCAAAGCCCTGAATGTGATTAATTAAAGTGAACATTAAACTTGATTTGATTCACCTTTTGCCTTTGGAGTTACAATGGATGGTCCAAGTTGAACTGGACCACTTTAACAATATCAATTTATCAATTGTAAAAGTTGAACTACAATTACATGTGATTATGAATAATATTACTTTTACATTGTGTTATCGATCAAAAAATATTGATCAGTTGAGGAATGGAAGGTAAAATGATGCAAAATGATAAAGACTGGGGAAAAGGTTGCAAACTTTATGGACCATGTTAACATGGAGTAATAATTATAATGATCAACTTTTAAATCAACAAGATATTAATCATAAATGTATAAATAATTATGGTTAATTACAGTTGTGTTTTTATGGTTCAACAGTTATATTGGATTAGCAAGGGAAAGGCGAACAGGTGAAAACATGAACAAAACTGTCGATATTTCAATCAATTAACAGTTTTTTATTCAATGTTGATAAGTTGAAAATTGAAACAAAAGCTGATTCAGGGATAAAAATGACTCAAAAGTTGACTGACATCATAAAGGTACGCAATGAGTACAACGGGTTGTCCATTGACTTTAAGAGTCTAGAAACAACGAAAGCTCAACTTTGTTATTCTTTGTTTAATAATTTAGCATCAAATTGTGCGTTTTCTTGATATCGAGTACTTAGCTCTCATGAAAAAATGACGCTCGTCAATTTGAAAAAAACCGAATTTTTCAAAAGAAGACATCGAAAAACTATGTCTGGCTGTATCAAAAGTTCCGTTAAATGTGCCAATCAGTCATGATCGTGCTTTAAAGTCAAAAATTTTTTCAATTATTTCTTGCAAACATAAAGTGCTGAAAATTCGTAAAAATATATTTAATAGTTGTGTTGACTGACAAACGATTTTTTCTATAAAGCATTCGGGTAGCATATTATGGCCGTAAGGTCATTTAACTGCAGACGGGGGGGCATTTAAACAGTTTTAAACAGTTTAAATTTTTGATCGGTTCTAAATGCTTATGGCTATAGCCTGACGAATTGAATTTTCAATATACATAGTAGTTTGTTATACAAGTGGCCTTATTTTTGTCGACAAGCTCTAGCTCTCAAATTAATAAACATATTCACATGAAACTTTCACTAAAAGCCTTAGAGTTAGAGCCTCACTTTTTGCTGACGGAAGATGTAATTGATCCGAGGTCACAGAAAAAAGTTTGAATTTTGAGCGCTTGCTTTCATTTCAGTGAGTAACATGAAAGTGAAATCATGATTATCGTGATTAAAGTTTATTTTATCCTAATAGAAGCTTCATGTCATTGGAAATTGACATTTCTTACCAAACCTAAACCTGCTTACTTGAGGTTCAATATCATCAGTTTATTTTGCATTATTATTGTGACAAGAGATTGATAAGTCTGCAGTAACTCAAGCTAACTTGAAGGCTACTTTTGGGTCTAAAGTTGGCCTTATCTTAACACTGCTTAGAGTCCATTTCAAAGAAACATTTACTTTCTTTAGTGTTTTACCTTTTCTTGAATGCCAGCTGAAGACCATTAACTGGTGTTCATTAGCCTTTATGTGATGATATTTTTTGTTTCCTTACTTTGTGTTCATCTTTTGGTTTGAAAGGCAATTTTATTTTTCTCTGTGAATGATATAATATGGATAATTTGAAGATGAAAGAGTAGGAGTGAAACAGTTAGATGATAAAGGTTTCAAGATGAGAGTGCATCAGCATGATTGTTTCAAGTTGATCATCTCAATTTGATACTCGAGCAAGATTCAACTTCTACCCTTGACTTTTCAACCTGTTCCCATGAGAGTTTCAAGAGGAAACATGATTAGATACAATAGACTATTATTGACTTTAACACATTGACATATCCAATGTTAAAACTTATAACCAGACTAAAGCAACAATCACAAATGGTAACAATCATTGATTTCCTAATTGGATAGGATTGATCAATATAATAAATAATAACAAAAGTTAATATAACAATCATTATAACCTTTTATATTGGTAAAAAAATGTGTAAATAAACTGTAACTTTAATGTTTGTATCAACCATTAACCCAAACTAGACAAAATGCCATTAAAGGTACAATTTTACAAATAAATGTAAATTCATTACAAAAAGATCGATTTTCATGTGAAAACTCTTCAACTACCATAATTACAGCAAACTCAAAGAAACCAAAATTCGACTTTTATATTCTTATACAATTCGTATCCAAATTCAAATCAAAATCCATTTTCCAGAAACTCGAAAGATAACTGAGCAAATAAGCATTCATTTAACATAAAGAACTCAAAAAACTCTTGAACCTGAAGTTTGGCAGTGATGATGTTTAGACTCTATTTTAGACCCTTCATCAACAAACTGTAAAAACGAAGTTTCGAGTTCATCGAGATCAGTTTCGTTGCGACAACTATGTGTCAAAAGGTCACTTTCATATTTTCTGTTCCTTAAGCATTGAGAATATCAAATCTAAATCGGTCTCATGGTATAGTCTTGTCATGTTGCTGCTACTTTCATGTCATTACAAATTGTCCACTTGAAAGATGAACAACTCAATTTTGAGTAAACTTTCATGTCGAGTTTGAAACTGACAAAAGGCTAACTTGGCGGATTTAATAGTTGATAAAAAAGGGAAAGTCTTTG